CTTTCATTCACCAGAGCACTTTACACAGACGGATTAAAAAGGGTAAACAGTGGCAGTCATTACAGAGATTCAGTGTGCCGACCACAGGATTTATGATCAGCAGAACAGGACTGTCTGCGGGCGGCCTGTGTTGTCTGCTATTGAGACACCGCCAGGCATTATGGGTAGTGATGACTTCAGGAGACCAAACAATTTGAACAGAGAACTGAGTCAGATGATGAATCTCCGGAAACTTACTCTCTTATCTGCTAATGGAGTGCAGGAGGAGCATATATAACATACTTGTTTATGGGCAAGTTATATCATTGTATGCCAATATGATGCATTCACTGCAGCTGAACCAAAAGGCTACGGATAAAATATTTAATTTACATATTTTTACTATACTGTAGGTGTTTGCTTGAATATAAAAGACATATTTAATAGTGTTGCTAAAATGTATTCCTACAAAAACTGAAGGCAAGGGGAGTAAGTATCAGTGGCAGATTTAGGATCGTAGGAGATCCGCAGCTTAGCCCAGCATTTTGAAGTTGTGGAGCTGGGGGGGGAGGGGGCAAGTTCATGAACTGTGAACTTGCCGGAGCCTCGCAGCTGGACCATATTGTCTCAGCTGGGCTACTCTTCATGCTAACGAAGGATCACTTCTTCTTCTTCAGGGCAGGGAAGGCTACGCAGTACGCAGGCTGTACGTGAAACATCCGGGGCTTGAGCCCAAGTAGCCACCCCCTAGCGCCGCCACTGGTAAGTATGTGTCGCTGTACACTGCTTTTTCTCATTCTATTGATGAATTTGCAGCTTTAAGTAGTACTTGCTGCGTTTACATGATACATTACTTTTAGCTGAGGGGTTTGTCATGTGATACCAAATCAATGAAAGCAGCAGAAAAGGGGACCAACAAAAGTCCATAAATGAAAAGCTTGAACTCTCCTTATGCCAATGTCCAATTAGTAAAGATAAAAGAAGTCTAAACTATCTTCCTAAGTGTTTGACTCACATCACCAATCAGTGTGGGAGCCTGCAAGCTGAGACTGGTTGTAAGCAGACACTTGCTCATATGCAAAGAAGCCGTGCGTGCTGTTCTGGAAGTCAAATCATTAGTCAAAAACCATTTCAGCATCAGCAGCCTGAAAAACATCTGTCATCAACAAGGTTCGGAGAAAGAGGAGGAAAAGTACGACAAGGCTGAGATGACAGGAGAACATGTGGATAGTGTCAGCTCACAAAGTGATGTCCCAGTACAATAACAGGATGTTAAAGAAAACATCTCCAAAACCAATACAAACCATATCTGAGTATTGATCTGCAGGAGTCATTAGGCGTGACTGGCAGCACGGTGTGCCATGAAGTTACTCTGTAACTTCTCCAGTCTGTGTTCCGTCTAACAGGAAACCTCTCGCTGATTTAACGACAAAAGAATCTGGAAATAGGTTTCATATTAGTTACTTATTCTGCCATTACTGCTGACGTACATGAGCGGATTAATTCCAGAATAAAACATGCATTGTTTGGAAGAAGAGTAGGATAAAAAGATGGACTCGGCCTTCACCGAACTTTGATGAGCAGCCCAACTTCAGTCACAAAGAGATGATGTTTGTAAATGCTGGTTCTTTACTTTTGTATTAAAACACAAGTCTGTAAGTAATGGAAGAAATGTATTCATATCATAGGTATATGAAACCTAACTGGTTTGAAAACATCTCGCCAAGAGACTTCAGAAACATCCCAGAAAACACAACACTAATGTATTAATGCTGCACTACACAATAACCACTGATGGCCTCGGACCAGAACTTTTCTAACTGGGATACTTTGAAAATATCCAAATACCTCAAGCGCCTAAAGGGGAATTCTCCAGTGAATCAGGGAAGTAAATGCGAGAGAAGCAACTTCCCCATTTTGTAGCTTCACTAATCGATATCTTTACAATTCAGTTTTATCACCCGACTGCCGTTTCTCTTAGCTCAATGAACGCTAAGCGTCTTTTAGCTCACGGTTTTGTTTTAGCTACCTGCCACTTTAAAGTTTCACTTTCTATGTCCTCAACAACCTTATTTGCCCCGCACCACATGGCAGGCATACAAGTTGGTCAACATATCTGCATTTAGCACTTAAAGAGTCACAGTTGTCTTTAAACAAAGTGGAAAATGTCAATGCTAGGTTTACAGCTTGTTACGCTGCACCCAAGTTGCATGAAAATCAATACATGCCAGGTTTGAAAACACACTTCTCACTAATATCTCGTCATCTTCTGAGGATTGAAACACTTTATCAGCCCTCTCAAACACTTTGGCACTCATTTAAGATCAGTGAGTTCTTTTCTGGACTGTGATGCAGCATCAAAACGAAAGCCTTTGGCACGATGATAAAACAACACTGGAGAGCACCAGAGACGTGCAGGTGATGAGTGTTTGAGGAGCCTTTCACTGCTGCCGAGACTTTCTCATGAGGTCGGCCTCTACCATCCTGCTCCCTGCCCGGAGGCGGCTGTGTATATGCGGGCCCTGCTCAGACAGGTCGAGCCGCATACTGCTGTCACGACACTGCTCAGTTAAGCCCTCGTTAAAACGCCGACACAATGACACAAACACATGTCTCAGAGGGGTGGGAAAGAAGCAGACTTATTTTTAACTTTCTCTTGTGCAGTACTGGAGTGGGATACCCTATGTTTAAAAGGAAAGTATAGTCAGGAGGATAAAACGGAGAGTGAGGTGAAAGAAACACAGACAGAGAGTGGCCTGACTTATTTGTGAGGAATGTGTTTAAGAAACCATCTTCATGCACATTCGTGGTGAATATAAGGTGAACCCAGTCACGCTTTATATTTGCCCGAGGGGCGACTATTTCAGTTAACTCGGCTGCTTTGTTCTTGGCGAAGTCATGTTTTGAATTACATCAAGCACGGCACGTCACAGCAAGGGAACACAGAAGAACAAGCTGTTGACTGGTTGCCATCTTGTCTTGAGCAAAACCTCAAATCAAACAACAAAAGGGATATTTTTGTAGCAGAGACATAATATCACGTGATGTTTTTAAGTGAAATATGAACTTGTAAGTTGCTTTATTTGACGCAACCTCGCTGACTGTCATGCAAAAGAAGTCTTATGATGCTATAGTCAATGATTTACTATAAAAACCTGCACTGTTGAGCTCTAATCAGGCTGCATTTTATTGTAATTCATTCCCACAAGCGCACATAAGGCCATAAAATACCTCTTCCTGTTTATGACAATCATTGTGGTCTACATGTATCTGCAGACAGTGAAACAGTGTTTGACACAAAACATATAAGTTCAAGACAAAATAACTAAGGAGGCTTTGTTGTATTGACAGAAGAGCAGGTTACATCAAATATTAGTATACTTGTTTAAGTTGTTTGCACATACATGAAAGTTATGTCGAAGATGAATCCTATTCAGTTTAATTTCAGTTCAACTGCTGCTAGACGTTGGTTAGCTTCTACGATCGCACCTGTCACGTTGACAATGCCAATAAAGTCTGTTCAAAAACAGCCACAGCATGTGACCACTCCATGTTTGCATAAAAACCAACAGCATGAGTCCAACACAAAAAGACTCTCATATCCCCACGAATATAAAGGAAGCTCCAAGAGTGAACAAACACGCTTAGCCCATCTAATCCACAGGGGGTCTCTCGTGTGGGAAAAGCTCTCAGGATCTAACGCCTGGCAGCAAACCAAACTCAGCACCGCACGAAGGCTTCTGGTTTCTGTTGTGACCTGCGTAAAATCCACAGCCATTATACTTTAATGCAGCTGTCATGTGTCTGCTGTGAGCCGCTGTTCATGTGTAACATTGGTGGGGTGGTCCAAAAGTGTTATTATTTATTTTGTACGAATAGCTTTTTTGCCATTTTTCAGACACAATCGTCCGCTAAAACATGGCATGAGTTACTTCCTGAAATGTGCAGGCTTCTGGCATCAGATTGAGAAATATGAACTATCTTGGACCAACAGAGGAATGAAGGATGGAGAGAAAATGACATTTAGCACACGTGTCTAAAATTCAACCTGATTTTCCATCATGTGATCAAACCCCATGACTGCACAGCCTCTACAGGTAGGGAAGTAAGCAAGAAACCACATGTACCTCTGCTCCTATAGGACCAAGCTGTGTGTGTGTAATAATCAAAAAAAGAAAGGCATGGGGTATTTACTTCACAATAAGGGCTGCAACTAATCCTTATTTTTTCAATGGGTTCAATGCTTTGTCTATACATGTTGGAAAATAGAGAAAAATGTCCATCTCAGTTCCTCAAAGACCAAGGAGATGTCTTTTAAATATCTTGTCTCCTCAGTCCAAAATCCAAAGATCTTCATTTAAATATGATAGAAAGTAAAGAAAAACAGGAAATGTTCTAATTTGAGAGGCTCAAACTGCACTTTCCTACATTGTAATATATTTAGATAATGTCAAGCTACAAATCGTTGCAGCTCAATTCACAATGCATTCATATATCTTGACACATTAGGAATAAAAACCCTACACCTACAATAAGCTTGTAACATCAGGCCTATGCAATTATATAGCATATTTTGTATGAATTCAATCAATGTAAGTGTTTTGTGAGTGTTTGTTAATGCAATTATATTTAAAAAGTCTTAAAAAACAACTTCAAGCTACTAAAATCAACCTTCATTACATTACAGAACTATAAATAAAGTTACATTTGAATCATTTGTAGAGCAGTGCTGCCACTATAGTTGCACTAAACAGCTCCCAGGCGAACTGTACCTGCTTTTTCTAACATGTCAGGTGTGTGTGAAGGACTTTAACCTGCCTGTACAGGTGAGCTGATACCTTCCCCAGGTAAAAGCAGCCTGGTAGATTTAAAGAATTGCACAGCGTTGTGTCTAATCAAAACTACTTCTCTTTAACTTAAACAGAGCCTGCATCCACACTGCCTGTTAAAGCATTGGAGGGAAAATTAATAAAAGACCCGGGAAGCCCGGCCCTCTCTAGCGGGTCGGTGGAGATTCTCACCCCGGGTTTGACGTCCTCAAATACGGCCGCTTCCTCAATGCCATCCGCTGCAGCCATCCTCACCGGCTTCAGCTGCGTGAAAACAGCCCTTTCGTCTGTCGTATGCGGCGGATTCATCGCCAGTCCTACCATCGCTGCCATTATATTTAATCTCTTATACAATATATATCTTATTCGGAATGTAGGTTATAAGAATAGGAAGAGTTATGGCTGATAAATGCGTCTTTTGTTAGACTAAATGCTACGTATTCCAAAGCCCTCCCCTCTGTTCTGGCGCACAGGTAGGTTTTACCTGAGCTCAAGTATGGACCTGCTACCTGCAGGCGACGGTCCACACACAGCACAACCAATGAAAACAGAGGATGAGTATGTGGTCCAATCAGCTGCGAGGAGGAAGGCGGGACTCACCTGAGAGAATCCGGAAATAAGGGAAAACAGCTGGAAGGCATCATCTCTCACACACACACACACACACACACACACACACACACACACACACACACACACACACACACACACACACACACACACACACACACACACACACACACACACATAAACGCACACTTATTTAAAAATTAAAGAAACATATTTTATAGTCAAATCAAATTAAACTAAACTCAATATTCTGATTTGTCTTCCCTCCCTCTGTTGAAAGCATGCCAAAAAGCCTAACTGTTGTTTGTTTAACGTTATAATAAAGTCTGCCATCTTTTTGGTGATTTTTGCAATACTGTATTTCCCATATATGAGTCAAGCTCATTACGTTTACTCGAGACCTTGGACACAATAAAACCTATTGTATTCACCAATATCCTGGTGAAATAGTGGAATTAGCAGGTCAAATGTGGAATGGAGCAGACAATACATCTTGATAGACCTTTGTGGCTGTAGCCTAGAAATCTGTATTGTTTTACAAATCTGCCAAGTCATTTGATAAGTTGGATAAGCATTATGGGCAACTGAACACAGAGGAAATGGCTGCATGTTACAACAAATTCAACAAATGATAGAGCTTTACTCATGGTGAGTAACAGCAGCACAAAAAAGTGATTTAAGATACAGATATAAAGACGAAGGCATGAGATCTGTGTTAACGCATGCATGAGTTAGAAAATCAGTCAAATGAACGTGTGTTGAGTTGAAAGAAGTCCAATAAACATGATTTGAAAGAAACACGTTTTTTCGACAGGTCAGTGCTTTAACGCAGACGTCACTGATACTTAACTTTTTAACTGTCTTCCACTTTTTTTCATGGACATTTTTGAGCCTTTCATTGTATAATATATTTTCTGCAGTTTGAGAATGACAATGTCTTGTGATATAGATACTGTTGGCGAAGTTCCAATGTAAGAGTATGTCTGGCTATGAAGGGTGAATCAGGTTAAACTTGAAGAAAATTACTGTGTGTTTATGCGTCTGCCCTCCATTGTCTCCCTCACGGTGTTCATGCTTATTTATCTTTAACAAAGGAAGGAATTGCATGCGTCAAAAAGCATTTAGATGTTTTGCTTTTATAACAAACAACGCCCCTACGTGGGAAACAGAAATAGACTTCAGATATAGAGTGGTGTACGACGCTGAAGTTGGCTTCCGATTCAGAGCATCCGATTCGGCAGTTAAGGGGAAAGTTAAGGGACATTTAATTTACAGCGCTGAGCGAACAATCCTCCGTGTTTGAACCTCTTAAATCGCTGCATAGCCGATTTATTTGGACTGGATTATCCCAGAGAGTCTAAAGATTCTTTATAACCCAGTTTGAGATTTGTGAAACCTTTATTCTATTTGTGAAAATTAAAAAAAGGGAGATTTCAGTGCTTTTTTCGCATCTTCACCACATTAGACCAGGTCCTGATCTAAAACCACTAGACCTACACTCATCAAATCTGGACTGGATTATCCCAGAGGGTCTAAAGATTCTTTATAACACAGTTTCAGATTTGTGAAATCTTTATTCTATTTGTGAAAATACAAACACAGGTGGAAGGCTGAGGTTGCTGCAGCAGGCCAGGATCAGGATCAGAAAGTGAACCTGCCAGCTGGGCAAGCCTTATGCCTTCACAGACAGGACGACACTCCCAGTACCTGCCAGAGGACAGCAAGGCAGGGAGCACAGACAGGCAGAAGGGGGGATGTTCTTTTGTTTTGTTTTATTGTTCTGTCTTTTTATTTATTTAAGTATTCCAGTAATGTATGTTGCATGTTTTAATTTTGATTGTATTTACTTGTTTAAATGAAATGCGTTTTAGGTTCACTTATAAAATCTGTCCAGGGACAACAGATGAAAAATAGCCTCTTGGCTAACTCTGGCAGATTTACAGGAATGTTAATTAATGTGCACTGTCCCTGTTAAACAAATGAATACATAAATAAAAATAAGTGTATGCTCCTCATTTAGGTGATAATTCTTTATCTACAAAGTGTTCGTATCTTAAATACTGTTTCATAGCAAACAAAAAAATGAAAGAGATGTTAAAGGAATTCAGGTTCATGAGATAAAGAAAAAGGCTAACCTTCAGTCTTTCATCCACTTTGAACAGCTTCTGCTGCTTTGTCCTAAAGCAAAATATGAATAGCAATTATTTTTACCAAAGTGTTATTTTCTAATCTTGTAATGTTTTTCACATTCCAAGCAATCCTAGTACTCAAGATGACATACTGTAATTAGGCAAAGCTTGTTGCTTAAAGTAAACTTGAACAATGCTAGTTATAGACTATATTTAATTTCCTGTTGAAATGTTTTGCCTGCAACTGTAAATAAATTAAGTTTATATAAGTATACCTACTTATCTGTTGAATTTTTATTTGCAACACAAAATTATAATACATTTGAGAAGTAAAGACTTTATTCTTCCTTAATTAGCTGTCCATACTTATCCGATTTGATGAGTGTAGGTCTAGTGGTTTCAGATCAGGACCTGGTCTAATGTGGTCTACATGTAAAAAAAGCACTGAAATCTCCCTTGTTTGTATTTTCACAAATATAATAAAGGTTTCACAAATCTCAAACTGGGTTATAAAGAATCTTTAGACTCTCTGGGATAATCCAGTCCAAATAAATCGGCTATGCAGCGATTTAAGAGGTTCAAACACGGAGGATTGTTCGCTCAGCGCTGTAAATTAAATGTCCCTTAACTTTCCCCTTAACTGCCGAATCGGATGCTCTGAATCGGAAGCCAACTTCAGCGTCGTGAGTGGTGTCTCAATACTTCGGTTATACATTTGCTATTTTGAGACATTCTAATCCAAAGTATAGAAAAATGCACTTTGAGTTCCCAGATGGTACATAACATAACCAAGTTGAGTGTGAAACGCTTGACACATCTAGCTAGCTAACTATTCTAACGTAGCTAACGTAGCTAGCAAGCTATGTTATAGCTCACTGTTGCTATCAGCAGCAGTCGTCACTTGGTGAGGGCAAAGCCGCTGTACGAGATTTGAGACAATGTTACGTAGTTGCAAAGTTGTTCACAGTTTTTCACAGTATAACATGGCAGGGAAAGAAGGGAAGTGTCTGAATTGAAACACAGCATAAAATGAGTAACATTCCAACCCAGTCTCACAGCATTTCGTGTTATAGTCATGAAATTAATTTAATCTATTGATTCGTGTTCACCAACACGATTTCCCCCTTTTTTTCGTGTCACACAGAACGATTTGAAAAGCAATGTATTTCTATTGTATGTTTCGTGTCTGCACCACGTCTTTTTGTCCGGTCGGGTCTTGGAAGACCAGAAGCTGTGTGGTTCATAAAAACATTTTCTTACTCAATATCTTACCCTAACCCTAACCCTTTTACTTTAAATTGTATAATGTCTGAGTTTTGTTGCCATCCGCGAAGAAAATAAATGGGGCTCAGAGCCTCAGAATACTGAAATCTGTATTTTTTTAAATCTCTTTTTCCTTCAAATTTGTTCTTGCTTTTAAAATCGTGCTGTGTGACACGGAAAAAATGCGAAAATCGTGTTGGTGAACACGAATCAATAGATTAATTTCTTGACTATAACACGAAATTCCGTGAGACTGCGTTGCCACCAACATTCACTGCATAGCTCGTAGCAGCGATGAGACAGTAGTGACACAACATGCTTCTCCTCTTTACCTGCAACACAAATGTATGACAATTACTTATTTCTGGCTAGATTTGTAGACTTCTGGTGCGTTCACATCTGTGTTTGGTTAATTTGGTTCACCTATTGAAAACAAAAAATATGTATCAATGCATTTTGTTCACACTGGCTTTTTAGATACAAACCACGAGGAGTAAACAGACAAGTAACTCTGTGATAGTTTTGGGAATTGTGTTCCTGCTTCATCATGGTCCACGTTGGAGTACCATTCAGGCGACTGACAGAAGTTTATGCAGCTCTGTAAGGCTATTGATTACTCATTATTAGACTGCTTTCAGGACAATCGCTCAGATGTCACAATCAGCAGAAGGATTTATTGGTAGTTTGGCTTTGAATAATGCTAGAGTCTCATAGCTGGTATCATAAAAAACATTGCTGATTTGTTTGCTTCCACACCACAAACAAACCACACCAGAGGAAGTGAAATTAGAGACTCTTCTTTTCAGGAACCGATAAGATCAGGTGTACGACACTGGAATGTCATTTGTGTTCCACCTTTATCCTTACGAAGTGATGATTTACTTGTCAAACCTGATTGGAACAGTTAGTTAGCTCAGGAGTTAAAACATACCGCTGGGGCGTTACTTTCTCTCGATCGCATCAGTTCACTTCTGTCAAACTCAAGCAGGCCTGTGTGTAATTCTACACCGTGAGAACATTCGGTATGATATAATAATAACTTCTCTGGTCTAGTTTGTCTCATTGGTTGCCCTGCATATTTGCACAGTGTTATTATACCAGTGGGGAGAATGAGAAGCTGTGTTAAAGAGATGGTAGATGGCCATGAGCAGCCTAAGCACCTGTCACTTTCCAGGAGACAGTTATTGTAGCAGGAAATAATGGGTATCTTTTCTTATTGAAACAAAACAATGATTTGTTAATCTTTCAATACTTTGTGACTTCCCTAATCTTGTTAGGATGCCTTCACCATCGCAAATAAGGCTAAGGCATTTCCCAGATTGCGAAGAAATAAGGATGTTTGTTAATTAAAGGTGACATTAGGCCCTTGTAACCTCCGTGCATTTTTTGTAAACATTAACTTGCTGCTGAAACAGTCAGGCTACAATTATTTTACCCAGGACAAGGAGTGGCTTCTGAGAGCTTTGTCCACCTAGAAATGTTTTACTAAGATGTTCTAAGAACTCTTTTGTAAGCT